AATTAATCGAAGCAACGAAAAAATAAATTAAGTTACGAGTAAATAGTCGAAATTTCAAGTTTTGAAAGGTATTTGAAGTAACGAGAAAATACTCGAAGAAACGATAAAATTATTGAAATAACGAGAAAATACTCGAAGTAACGCGGGGCGGTGGGGTAGCCTTGTGGTTATAGCGTTGGCTCGTCACGCCGAAGACTCGGGTTCGATTCCCCACATGGGCACAATGTGTGAAGCCCATTTCTGGTGTCCCCCGCCATGATATTGCTGGAATATTGCTAAAAGCGGCATAAAACAAACTCAGTCGGTCAGTCAGTCAGTCGAAGTAACGCGTAAATAATCGAAGCAACAAGAATTGTAGCAGAAAAAATATGTGTGCTACAAACGTGGCAGCGTTAGGCTTTCGTGTTTTCCAAGCATTTCAGGCCTTACTTTACAAACGTCTGCTCAAATGCGGAGCAACCAATCATCATCTCATAAGTGGAACATCCATGAAAAACTATAGGAGCACCATTAACAGTGAAAAAATCCTCATCAGTTTCATCTAACGGGACTTCTAACAATCATAATCTACACACGTCACTCTGGGATAAAATGGACATTGGAGAACCAGTATCTATCAACATTTGAAAAATGCCTGACCTGACATGTACATCCACATACAAACATTTAATTGATGGTAGAACAACCAGGTAATCAACAAGCGTGTGCAGTGAAATTTCAATTTCACACGTACAGCTTGCACACCTGGCTGTTCTACTAGCAAGTGGTTCTCCCCCGTATGAAATAGCGAAAAGTGACAACAAAATAATGATCGTTTGTTAAACAATTTTTTTATTCGGGTGTCCAAAATTATGAGACAAATCATCAGAGTTGGTCTGTCGGTTTCATGTGACTGTGGAATATTTGGTTTTGTTGCAATTATTAGATTTTGTGTTAGTGAGCAATTCATCGGTCTAAAATGAAGTCAAACGGACTATAACTGTGGTAAGTAGTGGAAGTCATGTGATGTTGTTTTGGTAAAACGTTAAACTTGTGAGCATTCCGATTCAGTTTCCTTTTCCCCTCTTCATGATGGGGTCTGGGGGGATGTTTCGAAGCAGGTACAGGGGTACTCTGATAAATCGTGGCGAAGCGAGATTACTTGCCTAGTTACGTTCCTTGGGGGTTGTGGCCGAACACCACATCATTCTGGGTCACCCACTCCTTGGGAGCGTTTGTGCCTAGTAAGCCAAGGTGTTCAGGAGAATGCATCGCTAGCACTGTGCTAGTCGGATCCGGCCTCCATTGTTCATCGCTATCTACGGTTGTCATTAGCCTATACAGTGTATGCTGTCAATGCTTTTTCACATTGGGTAATCTGCGACCCGCCGTTCAACCGTGGGATAAGTGCAAATCATGAGATAGGATAAGTTTAAAAATTTGGAAATTTTAACTATAAATTGTGTATTTATATACTTATCATGCTGTTGTGTGTGATTTAAAAACAAAATACTGCTTATCAAATGGTAACTGTAACATTTTATACTCTGATTAAAACAAATCAAAATGGAAATTTGGGAACAATTTACTTGCTGTTTGTTTGTTTGAATGAATGTTGTTTAATGCCACACTCAGCAATGTTCCAACTATGTGGCGGTGGTCTGGAAATAATCTAGTTTGGACCAGACAATCCTGTGATCAACATCATGTGCATTGATCTACACAGTTGGGATACGATGACGAGTGTCAACCAAGTCAGCGAGCCTGACCACCTGATCCCGTTAGTCGCCTTTTATGACAAGCATGGGTTTCAGAAGACTAATTCTAACCAGGATCTTCTCAGGTAATTTATTTGCAATCTGAGAGGAATAAAAAACCCCATGAATATCAACAGTTGCAAAAGGTATGGCCACCATGACAATGCCACTCATCTCATTATCACACATATCTCAAATTTGATTGTTGTGGTTGTAAGAACCAATACTGGCAACCACACCAGTACCTGGCTTAGCCACCAATCACATGACATCATGCTGGCAATCAAGCTTTGAATTCTCAGCATTGAAATCCTCTGTTATTTTGTATGTACTGCCGATGTCAATTACTCCAGATTTTGAACAGGAGGATCTCTAGCTCAAAATTGGCATCCAAGATAGTCCCAAAATTTTGATGGGATTCATATCAGAACCCCTTGCGGGCCATGGTAATGTTTCGAAGGTGTTGTTCTGCAAATGGGTGATGACAGAGGTCTGTCATTGTCATCCTTGAATATCTGATGACTTGCAAAATGAGGCATGATGGTGGTTTCTAACATGCTTTGCTAAAAGATGAAAGGCACCAACAGTACTTTATCACGCAATAAAGTACACTGTATGCATTATATCACATTGTATTGATGTCACTACGCCATTCTCGTCTGCCCTCCGTTATCAAACGTACCCTTGGTTACCGATGTCACAATGAATGTCAGTTGTCATTGCCTCGTACAGTCTCCTACGTTAAACTACTCTGTAGCACCCAATAAATGTCTCAGCTCGATTCACAATTAAACAGTAACATGTCAATGTTTGCTGACTGAGCCTATGTCTGTAGTCCTACAATGCATCATTGGAATGTGGCAACTTCATCTGGATTTACTGTTCTTATGTTGGTAGTAGACGTGCAACGTTCCTATTGCCCCATATGGTTAATGATAATCACATACATAGCTAAAATAATACAGAGAAGATATTAAACCCAAACGTAAACCATCTTCAAACTGTTTATCATTTATTTTAACCTCAACATGCATGTTAACGTAGGGGGCAGACACATCACGTGGAGTACCCGTCAGTTAGCCCTGAACGAGGACTGTTAATTTTTAATCCCATTTCTGGCATCTTAGAAAAAAAATACAGTTTGCTCTACCCCCATGTATAATGTAATAAAGTACCTTTTCCCTTAACTATTATAAACTTAAAGCACTTGGACGTAAGCAACCTCCTTCTTTAACTATAATAGTTCAGGGCAAAAGTGAACTTTATTACACTAAACATGGGGGGAGAGCGAACTTTATCATCTAATGAATAGTGTTATCATTGCAATAAAGCAATCTGATAAACTTGGTATCCAAATCTGATAACTATGCAAATTACGTCAATCCACACACTACTTTCTCAAAACTCCATACATGCTGTGCGAATCCTAAAACATTTCATTGATGACGTCGTCGCGAGTTTACATTGCCTGGACGAGTTTGTCAACAAACATGGCTGCCCCCATTACCAAAATTGATGATTCTGTAAGAATTGATGACAGAGGTTCTGGAGTCGTTACTGCAGTAATTGGCTTTGGAAAACATGAAACGGAGAACTTCATTCAAATTGAAGGTACGGATTATGAGGCACGAGTGACAGGCTGTTGTCTAAGAAAGGTACCAACCAAGGATTTCGATCTATCGATCACAACAAAGAAGACGACGAATTGATTCCGTAAGGTATCAGAAACAGATATTTATGAAGTGATTACCCACAATGAAAATAGAAACACTACCAAGAAAACCCTGCCTGATTTTGTTGTTCTTTTTAGACAGAAAGATCTTATTTTAGGCAGGAGTTATGTTTGCACTGTATTAGCGACTAGTCACAAACATATGCCGCTGTCATGAACGACCTTCACCTTGGTGTACCGCTTAGTATTCTTACGCGAATGCTCGATTCTCTTCATATATAAATTCACGTACGATTTGCTTCTTTTTCAGAGTAATTTTAAGAATGTCATTATATGATAAAGAGATTATTAACCTTGTGTGTTTCCGTCTCATTAATATCATATATTAGGAATAAAGAATGTACATTTTTTATTCTTAATATATGATATTAATAATGCGGAAACACATTCGTTAATAATCTCTATGTATTTCTTAAGTCCACTACTCCCTGTTGATAACACTGTCCATTGACTGTCCCAGGTACTGTAAGGAGATCCAACTTGCAGTCATACAAAATGAAATCCCACACCATCACTTAGCCATAACCAAAGTGTTCAGGCTCATGGATCATCTTCTGGTGATATGTCTTGTTACAAGGTCTCTCGGTAATGTGTAGAAGATAGTGACTTTCATCAGACCACACTATGTCATCAAGTTGAGGTTTTCCTGGAGCCTGCACCTCTGTGAGGAAGTTACATCTGAATGTACGACATGCCCTCAGCAGCAAACAGCCTCCTACTGATGATACTGGCGAACTGTCAGATTCCCAATCTCCATTGCCAGCACAGTACTCTGGCATAGATCATAAAATTCCACATGAATTTGGACTGAGTTATCAGGTTCTTTGGTCTTCACTGGTGGCAATAAATTCTAATGTTCCAACTGGGCATCCCAGCGTCTTGCATGACAATAACTTGCCAGCAGGTATTTACTGAATGAATGTCTTGCTATGTCAGTTTTCAGTACTGTCATCTTTTAAGTCAGTTTAGAAAATGGTAGTGCACATTCTGTAGTTGTGATTTTTTTACGCCCATTTGTGAACATGACACCCACAGCTTTTAAGATATTGTGTGAAGCGTATATGTTTTGCATGTGCATTGCCAAAAATGTTTAGTTGTTATATCAACAGCATTGCTAAAATAATATTAAAGGTTTTTGTTGAAGAAATAGCTTGATCAAAATGGTTCCATCATGAATATTTTCCAGATGCGCCATCATATATTACACACACATTATTCATGTTTGGTTTGTCTTTAATCTCAGTATGTTAACAAATATTTCTGGACAATGATGAGTATCTTTCTGTCTGGTATTAATGTGCAAATATTGGTTCAGTTGTTCCATATTTAATGACGCACAAACTATTTAAAATCACCCACCATCTTTACAACGCCATATGCAGCAATGAATCCAGGAGGCTAAAGGATAAACAACAAAGCAAATACATTATAGTTGGCTTTTAGGAATACATTTTATCATCCATATCTTTTCTAAAACCATACGCCAAATAACATTCCATATAATTCTGAATAACGCAGAATGTTTTTGCACTATGTCAGTGTGTAAGATCAGGTATCAGGTAGGATATGCAGTTTTTAATGCACACATTTGATGAGTTTGCCAATGTGTTTTAGTGATGAGACACCCATAATATATGTGTCCTTTGTTAGATTTTTCCAGATACGCATCAGTGATATGCATCGGGTTAGCATCAAGTGAGCTTGAGATAACCTTGATCTTGAAGACCTTTTCACATGAAAACATATTCACAAGTCATTTTATGAGTGATTCTCATTCAAAGTGACATTGTAATTATTCAGAGTCTATCATTGGAAAAAGTTCAAATTATTCATGAATTTAACTAATATTTTCTTTGATTTGAACATTGTTTAATAATTTAAACTAAAGTGATCTTATGCAGATATAGCAGGGCATGGAGTCATCCCTTAGATGCCATGATTGTCCATTGGGTAATGGGGTTAACCTGTTTGGTCATGTGGACATTGTGTCTAACTTTGGATCAGAAGATCTGTGGTTCAAATTCCTGAATGAGACTAGGAAATGTTATTGTCGCCACAGAGATCTCACCCCCAAGTTAAGCCAATCAAGGCCTCAGCATGTGAGATCACATAATTGAAATTCCATTGTGTACATAAAATTTTAAGCACCTCGATCACAACGAGTAACCATGACCTTAATTGCCATAAACTCATATGTCAGAAAAACTGTACAGGAGGAAAAGGAATGGTTGTTTACAAAAGACTGCATGCTTATTTGTCCTCTCTTTGGTTCTGAATATATGTTGCGCATGACCCATGTGTAACGTTCCAGTTTCATATTGTAAACATTTTTATTTCAGTGAGACACTACTGTTTTTACATCAGATATTTCTGAAGGGTTTGACAGCTCGTCTAGAAAACTGGCCAACACTTGTATTAGGTAAGGATTTTGTGTTTCTTTACCTTTCTTTGTGCATTTGGTATGCGGTGAATTGTACAGGAACAGGTCAAAAGGGCTGCATGACAAAAGGACCCCAAAATGGTAAAGTCAAAAGGGCCTCAAGAAAGTCAAAAGGGCTGCATGACAAAAAGACCCCAAAATGGTAAAGTCAAAAGGGCCCCATCAAAAAGTCAAAAGGGCCTCAGACCCAAAGTCAAAAGGGCCCCATATGAAAAAATAATAACATCTTTTTTTTAAAGTGTATTGTAGTAAAAGGTTATATACATCTATACAGTGTATACTTTATACATACTAGTTCAGTTTTTAATAGATATTTTTTTCAATATTTGAAAGAAAATTTAACTTCTATTTCAAATTAAACATAACAAGGAATTAAAACATTTGGCACAATTTAATAAATTCAAAAGGCTGGAAGATACACCATGAAACGTGTCAGCATGCGGTGACTTACAAATGTTACAGTAATGTAATAAGGTATATTATATCTCCCACACAGTACAATTAAGTATGCAGTTTGCATATTAGAACTGACGGCTTGACAGGGAATTGCATGATACATTGTGTGGCTCCACAAACCAGTAAAGCTACTGGGAGGGAGAGGAGGGTAAAACCATGAGTGCCACAGCGGTCGCCATGCTAGCAGTAAGCACTGTGTTACTTAACGCCCTGTAACACCAAGGAAGATAACTCTTCACATCACAGACAAACGCCTAAGTCATGGGTTGGTCAAAGGGAGGCAACTCTTTACGTACTGTTAAAATCAGTCTTAACCTAAAACTATACTGCTGACAAAGAATAGATGTATGTGATGTTTTTTTATTTCATCTAAGTAACAACACACTTATCATTTATGACTATGACAAATACTTTGGCGGAGAAATAAACAATCTGTCTGTCTATATCAGCAAATGCCAAAGTTAGGTGAGGTTTTCCTCACTTTATTGATTATGTGAAATCTTATTATATAATAGGACTAACAGAGACATGGCTTCACCAGTTTGACTTGTCAAAATATTTTACAGATTTAAATCAGCTATTAAATGGTTGTCAGGCAATCAGAAAGGTCGATATGCAGGTGGTATTAAAGTTTTAGCTAGAAATTCTATTGAGAGTTTTGTAACACCCTTAAGTATGTCACATATATAGGTATGTTCTTTAACTTAATCAAGAAATATTTGATATTTTCAGCTTGAGCATTTAATCGTTGAACACCTTTAATGTTTTACCTCAGATCCAGTTATATTGATTATTGGTGATTTTAATGCAAGATGGGGTGATTTTCTGGAGAGTATTCCTGATTTTGATGACAGTACAAGCAGTGATTTTGAATTTGCTAACACAGTTGTTACTCAACAACAGACAATATTTTTGTATTAAATGCTCTTATTCAAAACCATATATCTAAATGGAAAGGTTGATTCTGTGTAACATTTATAGATTTCCGTAAAGCCTTCGACTCTATTGATAGAAAATGTATAATTATCTCACTAAATCAGATAGGGTTATCAGGAAACATTTTAAGTGCTTTATGGGCTATTTATGAAAAGAGTGAAAAATAAAGAATAGTCTCATTATTCTTTCTCAGAGGTATGTGAATCATCCATGGGACTACGTCATTGAGTTTTCAAACACGTCACACACTTTACTGCCATGGTAGAGGGAAGTGATATCAAAAACAAGTCTGTCCAAGATTTTAAAGTCACATATTGACACTGAGTCAACTCAACTGACATATGTATTTCAAGTGTAAGGTTTATTAACAATGAAAACAATATTCTAAAATATTTTGACAGTATTCACTGAAGAGCAAAGAAATCTTAGGGATTAGTGACAGCTTACACGATTGTCAAAACACAAATATGGCATCAAAGGGATATGTGTTTTTGTGAAATATTTTAGTTTCTGACAGGTGTGTTTTGGTACTATTGTTAAATGCATTTCTCTGCAAAAGTATTTGTCATAATCATAAATGATTTTTTATGCTTAGATGAAATAAATAAACATCACATACATCTATTCTTTGTCAGCATTTTCTTTCAAATATTGAAAAAATATCTTTATAAAAACTGAACTAGTATGTATAAAGTATACATTGTATAGATGTATAACCTTTTACTATATTACACTTTTTTTTATATGGGGCCCTTTTGACTAGGGGTCTGAGGCCCTTTTGACTCTTTGATGTGGCCCTTTTGACTCTTTGATGTGGCCCTTTTGACTTGGGGTTTGCAGCCATTTTGACTTTCTTGCAGCCATTTTGACTTTTCCGTTTTGGGGCCCTTTTGACTAGAACCCAATTGTACTTCGTGAAAATAATTTGTGAATGATGAAAGCTTTCACGATCTTACATCATCATAAAATTTGATGTAAATACATGTACTTTCATCTCAACCAACCCATGTTTTTTTGTTACCTGTATGCATGGAGCCTATAAATTCAGTTTTTCATTAGTTAAAAAATTTGGAAACAAGCCCAGCTTGCACTTCAACATTTTGTCCAAGATTAAAGTGAAATATGGAGGCATGTTCAGGAGGGCAGGCAAAGACATGTGCTTGCTTCTGAACATATCTGTGCACCCTTTTGCCATCTGGCACTAACTGTCACTTCGGAGGTAGTATGCGGTAAAACTGAAGATGGTGACAGACATCATAAAGAGGTGGCCTATCATCACAGAATATGCCAAGAATGTTATACTGAGAGAGTATACTGGATGGATTACCTGAAGGTTTGTTCTGTTTATTGTTTCAATATTTCAATGAAAACTAAACCAGATTGTGCCCAATGAATCTTCCATGTTCCAACAGCATTTGACATATCATTATCATAATTTTAATAGAGCACTCATCTGTATCATTCCCAGTTTTGAACAGAATCCTCTGCAAATGGATCAGTAATTGTACTTGAACATCAAACTTTAACTATTAATATTTAATGAATTTAATAATACTTTGATTCCTACATATATGGTAAGGCATGTGAAATATGTTAATGTGATGTGAACATAACACATTGCTATTGCTAATTAGACACAATGTTGCTGAAACACTGAATACACAGAAAAGGGCCAAGCATAACATTTTATTCCTTGACTAAATGTTACTTGTACAGGGTATAGGACATCTAATAAACTTTAAGTTGTGTTTTTTGTGTAAAAGATAAACAATAAAATGACCAGTAACACTATCTGATGTTTCATTGACTATTTGTGTTTGTTTCAGACGCTAAACTAAAAAAAAACACTGACAGTGCTACAGAAATTTCGACATGGGATGGTCTCCTCCCTGCAAGACAAACATTTAGAGAAAAGTTATGCACAAACTATCAGAGTTGGTGAACTTATGGCCAGTGATGCTTTGCTGCTTTTGACTGTGAAACAACACATTGCAGTTCAAATATGGACTACACAAGACTTTACTTTAAAAAATCATTGAGATAAATCATTATTTTACATATTTTAAAAACTTATCCTATCTCGCATCATTTACTCTCTCTCTTATGATCGACAGCTGAGTGGAAATGAACTGTAAACAAAGTTTCTGGCCTCTCTTGAACCCTTTGCCCGATCACACCCCTACTGCTCCCGTTCCTGGACAGCCTGGTAGCCTCTGAGAGGGTTATATCCCCAAACTGGATTGCATTATGCTTGAATAAGGAAATTGATAATGTTATGGTATGGACATAAATTGGCATTAATTGTTATGGTAGTGACACAATAACGGTAGTGACATTTTTAATTATAAACAGTTTTATATGTTTACTTCAAAAGATAATTTAATGAATTTGTCAGTCAGATATTTCAGAATATTTAAAGAATATGTAATAGGCATATGATTTACTTATGAATGTCCCTGTCATGTAAAAGAAACAGCTAAGACTGCATGTTATGGCAGTGACACTGTGACGGTACATAATGTCACCACCTTAACGGCCCTATCACAGCCGTGTTCTTCTATGCCAGACTCTTCAGGTGCATCAAGACAGAAGTACAGCAGAGACGGAACCGTTCACTTGCTCCAACAACAGTACAGAGTGACAAGGTTATGACTGTCAAATGTGAGAGTGAAATCTGGACACATTAAGTTCTATATATATATATATATGTTCTACATATACTGTGATATGTAACTAGAAAAGATATGTATTTTTTTTAATAGCCATGCCTTAACAAATTATATAATTTATTACTAAGTGATTGTTTGTATTCATTACTGATTAATGGATTAAACCATTACAGACTGAGGTAATCAGTATGCTAAAGTGTGTGCAGTCAACCAGAAAAGTCAACCAGAAATGTTGTTGTTATAAGCCGTGGACGTTTTGGGAGGATACCTCTGAGAAGCATGCATTTTCATATAAACTTTCACGCAAATCATCATACACAGGGCAATACAACAGAACATGTCTTTCCTCCTCAACACTCTCACGCCACTGAAAACATACCCTCTCATTCACATTCACATTTGCATATCTGCTGGTTTCCAAATGCAGAGGAGCGGTACCTGGGCCCACTTGCACAGAGCACTCTTAGTTACAATCAATCTTAGGCCCCTACAATCAACATTACAATCACCATCACCATAATATATGTATCTGTGTGCATATGTATATATGAATGCGTGTATGTATGTGTGCACATGTATATATGTGTGTGCATGTATATGTATGCATATGTATATCTATGTGTATGTGTGTATATGTTACAGTCAATGTCTACAATCAGGCAATGTGTACAATGACTGAAGTAACCAGTTAATGTGTACATTGCCTGATTCACTCAGTCATTGTGTACATTGTCTAAAATTTCCAGGCATTGTGTACATTACCTGATTAATTAACCCAATTATTGTACAGATTGATTGATTGTTGAACAGGGATTATTGAGAAGACAGGATTAGCTTGGGTTTCGTTCTGTGATCACTGAGGCTTCTTTAATAAAGTAATGTTTATAGTTTAGATTAATCCATTTTCCTTAAAGCAAA